CCGATAGTGTCTGAATGATGGCCACTAGAGGTAGGTTAACACTGCAATTTAAATAATGTAATTACTGCCGAACGGCAATATTTTCACTTTGAGGGTTAAACCAGGGGAGGGCATTCAGAACCCTTCATTGAGCTAGCGTGGTCTGGGTGCCTATAATTTCCCTTAAAGATTTAGCAAATTACAATCATGATCCAGTTCAGACAAGGCACAGCCAGTACAAACATTGTAAATAAGAAATAGATACATGGCTTTATTTTTGCTCTGCATGCTCTCGAGCTATGCTGGCTGCCAGGCGTAAAGGGCGGAGCTTATTATATGATTGACAGGGAGACCAGATGGAGGCACTACATTGCAGGATAAAGGGGATCTGATTACTACATTCCATTTTATTGATTTTTTTAAATCTCACAAATATAGGAAATCGCAGGTCCCTGAAATGTGTATGAAATCAAAAACCGCAGGAACAAAGATACAAAGTTAAATCAGGCTGCATTTATTCAAAGAGAAGAACCAAAAACAGATCACATGAATAGTTTGCAAGCAGGCGGCAAAGAAACGTAAAGTCACGCACACTATATATAATCCTCTCTTTCTTCGGATACAGGGTACATGTGAAAGCTGCAGAATGGCAAGAATCCAAAGGGCTGCATGGGAGGAAAAAGATCAGGGTGCCTGGTCTATGCTGGCAACTCCAACTCCTAATAATTCAGTGATGATCGGCAACGTCGATGGAATACTAAACACCTACCAGGAGGCCAAGAGTTAATCACCTGCATGAGGAAATCCCAGAAGAATTCTGTACAGGTAACAAAGTAGGAAAATAAAATGACTACTGCTGCGAGTGCCTCTTGCAAGCAAGTCGAGGATTAGGGTGCAATAACGGGTCCCTTATGGGACAGTGATGGCAGTATTTACTGGGACTTGCTAACTGTTTCACAGGCTGTACGGCACAGCTACCATCTCACTCGGGAAATCAGAGCACGCGTTACCAGAGAGGGATTGCAAGGCTGGGCTGTGGCAGGACTCCTGGTGGAAAAGCAGGATAAAGTGGGATTTATACAAACATTGGAACATACTATCGCACAGATTGCTTATTTATATTATCTTAAGAGACATCAGGGTGAACGGAAGAACGAAAGCTTCCTAAATGAATGAATGAATGAATGAATGAATATAATAAAGAAAAAAAATTCTCAATCCCAACATAGGGTTTATCCTGCAGTGTATGTCAGTGACCTGGAGAAAATTTAGTAAATATTTAAATATTTGCTGCAACAGGAGAGCGTCACAGAGCAGGAATTAAAGGGGATTTCTAAGCATGAAAATCACTTCTGAAAGAAATGGTTAGGGTGCAGAGACCCGGTTCCTTTTCCGTAGCAATTCTTGTAAATTTTGTTGCCTTTGGTAACTTTTTTTCTTGGAAGGCACAAAAAAAGGAGGTCTAAAATTAAATTTAAAAAAAGTATCGCATCGAATATATAAAAATTATAAATATTTATTTTTAACGTTCCAGTGTTCCTTTAAGTTCTAAAACTGCCCTTGGACGGGGCTCCGGATACATCTGTAGCATTATCGCCTCTTCATTAAAGGACCACTATAGTGCCAGGAAAACATACTTGTTTTCCTGGCTCTATAGGGTCCTTGGGTCCCCCTCACCCTCTGGGCCCCCCTCACGCCGGGAGGAAGGGGTTAATCCCTTACCTTTTTTCCAGCGCCGGGGACCCTCCTCCTTTCCCCGTCATCGGCTGAATTTGCATGCGCGTGCGCATTCAGCCAGTCCATAGGAAAGCGCCTCTAGCGGCTGTCAATGAGACAGCCACTAGAGGCTGGATTAACTCATTTGTAAACATAGCAGTTTCAATGAAACTGCTATGTTTACAGCAGAAATGGTTAATCCAAGATGGACCTGGCATCCAGACCACTTCATTACGCTGAAGTGGTCTGGGTGCCTATAGTGGTCCTTTAAATGTGGGTCACATTGTAATCTCTTAGAGTGCATTTGTTTGATGTTGTCCTATGGTCCTTGACAAATCTTTCACTACATTCTGGTCCTGTACATCATCATGGATCATACTGGCACTAGCACACCCAGGCATTCCATCCACAGAGCCTTACATGCTCAGGTTCACACACAGAACGAATGTGCATTGCATCATGGCTGTCTTGGTAAATTTACATTCTGTGCCTGACATAACGGCATACGGTGTAAAGTAAAAGTAATTTTTAATTGCACAACATATAGCATACATTTAACAATTGGCTTGGCAAAAACTCCACACAAGTCCCGTTAAAGGATTATATTCCAAATTAGAATGTCCCACGCACTTCGCGGTCACAGGGCTGTACGGAGGTGTAAACAGTAAGGACTGGCAATGCTGGCAATGGATCTTCAGAAACCAGAAGCCGATGTCTGTGGGAAAATGCCACTGATCATTAAGGGGTTAAATCTTGTAAAATCTGGCAATTACCAGTGTGGAGCATCTGATCATTTCAGATTAAGTTTGGATTTCAGCCATTCTGGTTCAGGAGTTCAGGAATTATTCTATTTACCAGTCTGTTTGCAAAAACACAGAGCACCAATTGTAACTTATGTTAATTTAAAAGGCACTTTCCAACACATGGATAACATAGAGTTAAATATTCACATCTGCGTCTTCAGAAGGAGCCAAGCGTTGGATGAAAATAGTGATTAAGGCAGGTGTTCACAGTGCTCATTAATGGAACACATCGATGTGGTTCACTGGCGGCCCCCGCTCACCGGTGAAACCGCTGCCAAATAACACTCTCTGTACCCCTGCCTGGAAAGCCTCCATTATAAATGGCTTTGCAAATGCTAACAGAAGTATAAACCACTAATGGCGGTCAGCGCCTTCGAATACGTCCTGCTCACATATGGGTAGGTGCTTTTTGCTTATAGGACTCTCCCCCCCTCCCCGTAGAATCACTTTGGCCAGCAGATGGCCACTATACATGATGTCTGTGCATTATATGAAATGACACGCAAACACCTAACATGCCACGGGTACATGAAAACAAAACTGCTAAATATCAGTGGACTTAAAAGATTTAAATATCAGTGGAGCACACTGCCTTAAAGAGAGACTACAGACACCAGAACAACTATAGCTTATTGTATTTTTTTCTGGTGAGTAGAATCTTCCCTTCAGGCCTTTTGCAGTAAACACTTTTTTTCAGAGAAAATGCCGTGTTTACATTACAGCCTAGGGATACCTCCACTGGCCACTCCTCAGATGGCTGCTAGAGGTGCTTCCTGGGTCAGTGCTCCAAAGTGTGACTGACATTCAGTGTCTCCACTCTCTGCATGCAGACACTGAACTTTCCTCATAGAGATGCATTGATTAAATGAATCTCTATGAGGAGATGCTGATTGGCCAGGGCTGTGTTTGGCTTGTGCTGGCTCTGCCCCTGATCTGCCTCCTTGACAGTCTCAGCCAATCCTATGGGGAAGCATTGCGATTGGCTCAGACCACCACTTCTGATGATGTCAGCAGACAGGCCAGAGACAGACAGGGACTGAGGCAGCAGCTTTACACTTTAATACAAGTAAGATTTTACTATCTTTATGGAGGCAAGGGGGGACCATGGGGGCTAGATGCTGGTTTTAACATTATAGGGTCAGGAATGCAGGATTGTGTTCCTGACCATATTGTGCTCCTTTAATAAAAAGGTTTTACTTGACTTTACATGACCTATAGCCATGATTGACACTGGTAGAAAAGTGCAATATTATGGCTTTCTTAAATGTTTTAGCTTGAATTTTAAATTCTTCCTCCACAACAGCTACTTTCTAATGTGCTACCATTTCCATATCTAACCAGGCACAAAGTACTGCAGCTCACCGCGGCTCCGTGCACCACTACAGCTCACCGCAGCTCAGTGTACCAATACAGATTATTTACTACTATAGCTTATTTCCCTATTACAGTTTACTGTATTTAAACTAGAAACAAGGCTCTACCCAGCACCACTCAAGGCCTGGCCAATTTGCAGCCAGAACCGTCTGACCTCAGAGAGCAAGGATAGGCTGTGATCGGCGGCTAACTTGAAGCAGTGGCAGAGGGACTGTGCTTTGGGGCCAGGATAGAGACTTTGTTTTGTTAAACTGCTAAAAAAACATGTAGACAAATAGGGCAGATGGTACCCAAAGACTCAAGCATCATATCTGCTACAATAAGTTGTAGTGGTTATGGTACTTTGAGTGTCCCTTTAAGTTCTAATACTTGTACTCAATCTTTATCAGTCTGGGGAACAATCTGGCCTTCCCCCCAGCACCAAAAAAACCATAAAATGAAATGGATTTCCAACTAGAAGTGGAATTCAAACTATTTGACAACAGAGTGTGTATATTTACATTGTATAACTTTTGGTAAAAATGCCTGAAATTGAAAAACGGCGTCACAATGCAAAAACAAAACAAAGGTAGAACAAGCAATGTTCTGGCAGAGAGAAGAGCATCCTATAACCTCCTCCCGAGAACAGAACAGCAAGCCGAGCAGTGCCATTAATCTGCAAACACTTTTAATCAATCAATAGCTTTTTAGGACAGTATTGTGCTATACTGAAAGATTTCTCCACAGCCGGATGGTTATTTGAACAAGCCGACAAAGATTATCCATATGCCGTTTAATCCTGGATACTCAGAGCTCTGATTGTTATTACAGACTGGATGTCTGGATCTGCAGCAGGACGGAAGTCCGGTAAGAACTGTTACACATACACCGGAGTACACAAGATCCAGCGCACTCACCTATCCACTAAACAGCAACTTCAATGTTGAAAGATTTTATTTGTTTTTTTAAAAACACCTAATCTAGGCAAAAATAATGGGGGTCTAGTTACATTATATGATCATACAGTGCATAAGCCTGCCACAACGTCAATGTACCCCATCTTTGGCAGGTCCTACACTAACAGCCTAATGTCTGCTCTTATGAGATTAACCTACTTGGGGAAAGAAATTCCATCTGGGGCTCTCTGCAGTACAAGGCTAAATAGGGCCCTGGGATGAGGCACCTGTGACAGGGAGGGGTGCAAAACCAAGGAGTAGTCTAGCCAACTCCTTGGTTTTGCACCCCTCCCTGTCACAGGTGCCTCATCCCAGGGCCCTATTTAGCCTTGTACTGCAGAGAGCCCCAGATGGAATTTCTTTCCCCAAGTAGGTTAATCTCATAAGAGCAGACATTAGGCTGTTAGTGTAGGACCTGCCAAAGATGGGGTACATTGACGTTGTGGCAGGCTTATGCACTGTATGATCATATAATGTAACTAAAACCCCATTATTTTTGCCTAGATTAGGTGTTTTTAAAAAAACAAATAAAATCTTTCAACATTGAAGTTGCTGTTTAGTGGATAGGTGAGTGCGCTGGATCTTGTGTATTGTATTATTTGGCCCCCAGCAGCACCCCCATTTATGCATGTTAAGGTGAGTGCAGCCAACCCCCTCTTGTTTTATATATATTTGGGAGTCTAGCCAACTCCTTGGTTTTGCACCCCTCCCTGTCACAGGTGCCTCATCCCAGGGCCCTATTTAGCCTTGTACTGCAGAGAGCCCCAGATGGAATTTTTTTTCCCCAAGTAGGTTAATCTCATAAGAGCAGACATTAGGCTGTTAGTGTAGGACCTGCCAAAGATGGGGTACATTGACGTTGTGGCAGGCTTATGCACTGTATGATCATATAATGTAACTAAACCCCCATTATTTTTGCCTAGATTAGGTGTTTTAAAAAAAACAAATAAAATCTTTCAACATTGAAGTTGCTGTTTAGTGGATAGGTGAGTGCGCTGGATCTTGTGTATTGTATTATTTGGCCCCCAGCAGCACCCCCATTTATGCATGTTAAGGTGAGTGCAGCCAACCCCTCTTGTTTTATATATATTTGGGAGTCTAGCCAACTCCTTGGTTTTGCACCCCTCCCTGTCACAGGTGCCTCATCCCAGGGCCCTATTTAGCCTTGTACTGCAGAGAGCCCCAGATGGAATTTCTTTCCCCAAGTAGGTTAATCTCATAAGAGCAGACATTAGGCTGTTAGTGTAGGACCTGCCAAAGATGGGGTACATTGACGTTGTGGCAGGCTTATACACTGTATGATCATATAATGTAACTAAACCCCCATTATTTTTGCCTAGATTAGGTGTTTTTAAAAAAACAAATAAAATCTTTCAACATTGAAGTTGCTGTTTAGTGGATAGGTGAGTGCGCTGGATCTTGTGTATTGTATTATTTGGCCCCCAGCAGCACCCCCATTTATGCATGTTAAGGTGAGTGCAGCCAACCCCCTCTTGTTTTACACATACACCGGAGTAAAGGTTTTCCAGTAATGGTAACAAGCTCAGGGCTAAAAGTACACCAATGGGCCAGGTTCTATCAGTATCCCAAAGGAAAATAACCAGGACGTGCCTAACTCCTGGCCTTCGAAGATTAGTTCAGAAACCCCTTGCTTTAATCAACACCCAGCAAACAGATTGATCCATCAGTCACAACGTTCAATGCTTTAATATGTTAGCATTGACCGTTGTATCAACTGCACTAAAATCATCCTTTGAGTGTTCCCACTACGGCACTTCTTTTTGAGCAGACAGAAGATTTTAAATCCCATTTGTTTATGAGAACATGTACATGGTGGCTCCAAAATTTTTTGGGAAGATTCCATATTATATACAGACAAACTGATAGGTTACAACCCTAATTCAATGGAAATGGGGTCCATTATCCCATTCTTACCTTGCAACAATTAAAAGAAGGCTCCAGACCTATGCATTTTTTTTTTTTTAAATTTGAACATGAATTTGTTATGAAGCTCAGAATATTAACCAATAATACAAAAATGCAATCTGACTTAAAGGACCACTAGAGTGCCAGGAAAACATGCTACATCGTTTTCCTGGCACTATAGTGCCCTGAGAGTGCCCCCACCCTCATGGCCCCCGTCCCGCTGGGCTCTGGGGGGGAGGGGGGGGGGGAGAGAGGATATACTTACCTCTTTCTCCAGCAACGGGCGGGGAGCTCTCCTCCCTCTTCTTCCGTCACCGGCTGAATGTGCATCCGCGGCAAGAGCCGCGCGCGCATTCAACCAGTCCATAGGAAAGCATTCTCAATGTTTTCTTATGGACGCTGGCGTCTTCTCACTGTGATTTTCACAGTGAGAAGCACGCAAGCGCCTATAGCGGCGGTCAATGAGACAGCCATTAGAGGCTGGATTAACCCATAGGTAAACATAGCAGTTTCTTCATTAAGCTAAAGTGGTCTGGGTGCCTATAGTGGTCCTTTAAGGTTTCTTCAGGTTTATTCTTACAGTTACAGATACATAATAAAACAATAAAGGATGTTACAGGATAATGGATGTTCAAAAGCAGATGGTAATTGCTGGACTCCTGAAGGGAAAGTTACATTGTTACATAGCTGTACAGGAAGAAGAGCCGAGAGAGAGACCTCGTGTCCATTTGTTCAGTTACTATATAGATGTGCCCATACTGACGTCAGAATATAACTTTAGCCATATAAGGACAAGATCCCGAATCCACATCCCAGAGTTCTCATACAAGAAAACCTTGTGACTTATTGATACCATCTGTTACTTATGCCAATCTAGACATCTATACATAATCAACAGAAAACATAGAATATGCAATATTATACATGTCATATACAATATTTCTGGTCCAAACAGCGGAAACCCACTAAAATTATATTTTTGGGGTTCAGACAAGGTATAAATAACGACTGGTACAAGCACATCTAAAGCTTATTGGCCTAATTAATGGCGTAGCCAACTCGACCTGAAGAACTTGTAAAGGATAACGACTCAGGGAACAATTTCAGTGTTTCAGTAGAAACTTGAAGTACGTTTCCCGTCATTGTCTAGCTGAATGAAAGAAAGCCTGGCTAATTTCAATACTGAAATGGGGTTTATTCTAATACAATGTAATTTTGAAGTGGAACTACTGATGTTAGCAACGGAATGTATGTCTAATGACTATTGTTTCTATTCTGTAATTTACATAATCTTTGCTCAGACCAAAAGAAAGATAAAAAATACCGATTAAATGGCATGATGGTTAAAATACAGTGCGAGTGTAACCACTGGCCTGAAAAAGACCTTCAGCTCTATGTACAGAAAATCAACCCGCAGAACAATACAACACATAGCAAGAGTGCACAGTTACTGGATCGTAGAGTATCGGTTATAAAACAGGTTTATATTTGGAGTATTTATCATCTTATGAAAATATGATAAGCTGAAGATATGGGTGGATGTACTCAGACGTGCATTGGAGAGTCAGAATATTTTTGAAGCTCTATTTTCATGTCTATACCTTAGCGGTTGTCATTTTTGGACAATTTAGACCTTCAGGCTTCTCACTGTGATGGACTATGCAGGACCCTTTAACTCTGCAATATAGTAAAATACACAGCTCTTTTCCACTCTGAATTATTGAAAGCTAGCACATACCTTGTTGAAGACCCAGATCTCCCCGTTGACAGTGGGACGTGGAACGCCGTGTCCATTATAGTGGAACAGAACACGCTCTTCCTTGGCATTCCGCCTGAGAGATGTGCAGAGTTTTTTCACCTCTTCTACGGTGGGATCTAGACTTTGCTTGTACCTGGCCTGATACAAAAAAAAACAAAAAAAACAATAGAAATCTTGTCAAGACCAAAGAAATAGATCTATTAAGCTACACATTACAGCTTCCATGAGCAAGTACAGGTTCCTGAAACCAACAAAAGTACTTCACTTGAAATAGGTTTACAAGGAGGAGAGCAGAAACTATGACAAGCTCAGACAGCGGCAAAAAGTGAAAGTACCTACACTACTATGTAACTGATAAAATTATATGGTGTACCAAGGAAAATGCGATCAGTCAATGGTTAAACGTAGCACTATAATTATATTTTACCCACGGGTGACTAATCTACTTAATGTGATAAAGTGAAACAAAAACCATGTTAATGTGATATTTGGAAAATGTTTTTCTTTGTATTCATTGTTACTAAAATGTGGATACGTATGGTGCAATGATCTGCATTTTAATTCACTGGGCAGATCTGCTTTTTAAAACAAGTTACACACAACACTAAGTCCCAATGGACAGAGAATGTGTACAGCACCATGAGACGCCTATTTGTAAACCACGGGTCTGCAAATCTGAGTACGGCACTGGGACAGTGACTCCAGGCTGCCTAGGATTCATGGGGGTCACACTCCCAGACAAGTTATTTAACATTTTGAGGAAGGGTTGCATATATATCTTCCCCCCACTTTAATGATTAATATTATACAACCAGACTGCTTCATTGGCACCGTTAGCAAAGCAGCAGATGCGCGTAAACACCCAGCTACCCAGAATCACTTTATCTTCATTTCTACAGTAAATTTGTTAAACAAACTCTTAGAAGAAACAAAATGAAACACAAACTCACTGCAAAGGCCTGTCTGCGGAGAGCGGCACAAATTGCTCATATAAAAAGTTAGAGTAACTGAATTAACATAATAGAGAGCTCCTGCCTGTTCCTCATCTGTCGTACTTCCCTCATCTGCAGCTATGTGGCTGAATGAAATGTAATATCCCTCTGGCCCAGTCTCATTACCAGAGTCGTTTGTGTGTTATAAAAGCCTAAAAGCAGTGGTCTCGACACCAAAGGGAAGAGAGACAACACTTTGATCATAGCTATAAAAAGTCCCAAATAAGCTAGACTTGCTTTATAAAGTCAGTGACTCCGTTAAAGATGATGAGATGGCAATAAGAAACCTAGACTACAGCAATAAAAAACACGGCAGGCCATATTGTGGCTTCCTGAATTCGTTTTCAAGACTATACCCAAAAGATCATGGTATCGTGGCACTCTTAGTCCCCAGCAGCTGCAGTTTCATCTCTGGTTTGTTCAAACATATCCTCACATACTGTCTGCTTCTCAAAACTTCAAATTGGGCATGTACCAGAATCTTTGGCTTCAGACAAGTTATATCCAACACAAAAAAAGAAAAGGTAACTTGTCGTTAAGGATTCTTTAATTTACCCAGTGACTCTCTTATATTCTGATTGCCTACTGTCTTACAAAATGAACTATGTTGAAACTTACTGTGCCTGTCAGATGGCAATATTCTCTACAGTTTACCAACT